CCAACTTTTAAATGTTTAATCAAAGCCAACTGTAAATCACCAAAAAACTATAAAATGTAGGAAAACAAAATTACAAATGATAAAATTAAAATGGACTATTTCGGCAGCCATGATATAAAAAAAAAAAAGAGAAGTGCGAGCTACCATGCTTGGTAGAGAGTGATACATTTGATGGCCATAAAAGCATCTTCCTTTATCATTTGTCCACGGATACAATAATTTTAGCAATTTCATTATGTGTTATTATTATTCCACTTTCGTGCTCTTCTGCAGCCACTATATTATATTCATGTGTTTTGTTATCAGTGTAATGAAAGTGAGTTGCGTCGGTATTTCATTTGTCGGTATTTCATTTGTCGGTATTTCATGTGTCGGTATTTCATTTAAGACAGCTTGGAAAGTGACGTTCTTGACTTAGTCAATACTCGTTACAATAGAATAAATTCCTAAACAATTCCTAAAACGTTTTTTTGGTATTGTATAAAACCTTTATAAAATGTAATTTTCAGAAACAGGGCGCTTAGGCTATAAATTCGACAAAAGATTCCTACAAGTAACTCTTTATTCTTTATAAGAATCCCAATTAATGTCGTCCCCCCTCCCCCCCCCCCCCCCCCCCCCAAATGTCCGCACATTGTAGTTTATTTAATTTGAAATACAGAAACATTTTAAAAAGGATTATGAAAGGTGTAACATCCCAACTTTTAAATGTTTATTCAAAGCCAACTGTAATTCACCACAAATCGATATAATGTAGTAATACAAAATTACAAATGATATAATTAAAATGGACTATTTCGGCAGCCATGATATAAAAAAAAAAAAGAGAAGTGCGAGCTACCATGCTTGGTAGAGAGTGATACATTTGATGGCCATAAAAGCATCTTCCTTTATCATTTGTCCACGGATACAATAATTTTAGCAATTTCATTATGTGTTATTATTATTCCACTTTCGTGCTCTTCTGCAGCCACTATATTATATTCATGTGTTTTGTTATCAGTGTAATGAAAGTGAGTTNAAAAAAAAAAAAAACCACCCAAAAAACAAACCACTAAAACCCCCCCCCCCCCCCCCCCCACCCAGGCCCTTAACTATGTTAATACTCTTTACTCTATACTCATGTCATTTATTGGGCTATGTTTGGCAAAAGCACACAGTGCCTCCTCAGATCCTCGGTCTCTGTCTTCGGAGTTAAAACCTTCATTGCGGAAGAGTAACCGTTTTTTAAACACCCACGGAAGTTGAATTGCTTCGATTCTCTCTGCTCTGTCATGGCCGACACCAACGGCAGTGGACACAGCGATAAAGCTGAGCAAGGTCAAGGACAGCGGCTGTAACCCTCGCAGCAACGATGCGCACTCAGAGTTACCATTCTTTTCCAGTAAATTTATGACGGACATGTTCCTTGAGAGACTACGAACATCCGACTGGGTCAGATACCAAGTGTCAATGAAATGGCGAGAGAGTCTGACATTGTTCATGAACAGAGCCACACTCAGTGGAGAAACGATGCGTGTTGGCCAAGGAAGATAACACCCCAGAGAAATATCTTTAGGAGCTAGCCCCCCTTGGATCAATTTTTGCACCAGTGTTTCATGCCTTCTAGTCACAGCCGTGTGAACTATACCCGGATTCACATGGCCAGCAGTGGCGCCGTGGTCAAGCAGAAATTCAGCCACCTCGACACATTCCTCTTGTCCACGTAAGTAACATTCTGCTAGTAGCATGGACAAGGCAGTTTTCTCACCAAAACGGTCTGAAGTTATAGCGTTAAAATCCGCGCCGGCGTTATATAACACTTTTATAATATCCACGTCACATTCCTTTGCAAATAACATCAACACTGTCATTCCAGATTTATTCCGATGATTGACACTGCTTCCTGCCTGCACTAACGCTGTGACCTCTTCGTTAAAAAACCCATATTTAATTAGGGTCATCAACGGGGTGTTCCCTTCGTTGTCTTCCGCGTTCACATCCGCGTCTTGTTCCAGCAGGATTTTTAACATCTCCATTCCTCCGTAATAAGCCGGAGCGCAATGCAAGGCCGTGGAGCCGTTGGCATCCCCCAAGTTGACATCGGCTCCTAAATCAAGTAATTGCTTCACGTTTTCTGTTTGACACCCCGCCAAAGCCAATAGGAGTGACGTTCTTCCTTCTTTGTCTGTGTAGTTGACGTCAGCGCCGTTGTCTATCAACAGTTTAAGGATATCCTGGGCCCCTTCCAGGACAGATCCCGTCATCAGGGCAGTGCGACCATCGTCAGACGTAGCATTAACATTTGCACCGTATTTCAGAAGAACGAACAGAATTTCTTCAATGTAAAGGAAACAGTTGACATTGACATTTTCATGTGGACTGATAAAGTCAAACGTGGCTTTAAGTTGTGTAATGTATTCGTCCGACAATACTTTAATAAGTGCAGTGGTATTAGTTTTGATGTTGGCGTCACAGCCTCGATTCAAAAGCAGTTCTATCATCTCATGATGATAGGCAACCATTAACGGAGTCTTCTTGTTATGCACATAGTTAACATCCACGCCAGCGTCCAGAAGTAAGGCGACGATTCGACTGTGACCTTTCTCTACAGCCACGTGCAACAAATCAGTTCTGCCATTCGCAATCACATTATTTGCACAGTTCTGAAAATTTCGTAGCAAAAAATTCAAAGTTTTGCACTTCCCTTCTACCACAGCATGCCATACTGCAAATTCTTGTAAAATCTTTGCCCCATTCGCCAACAGCACCTGAGCACATTCTATTTGTTCATTTCGTAGCGCCACATCTAATTCCGAGCCTTCGTAACTGGCTTGATGGTCTTCTGTAAACTCAGACATGGCGAATTTGTAAGATCCGAACAACGCTATAAGATCTGGACGTCCATGTCTGACTGCTGATACAAGTACGTCACGGTACACGTGTGCTGCAAACCGACACAATAGATCCACTAGTCTTCCGTCTCCTACTTCCACTGCCAATAAAATTGGTGTCCCGAAATTCGGCTCAAAAACATTGACTTGGAATCCAATTTCGAACAATTTAGTGACAATCTCAATATCTGCTTCGGCTATCCACAATTTTTTTCGTCTTTTGAATCGCATAAATAGCAAAAAGATTTGTTTATGGTTGCTTTCTTTTTTATGTATAAAAGAATATTGACAATGTATTTAATGATTCAGAAATTCCATCACTTGACAATGCTACCGCTAGTAAAGTCGAGATGCCTTCTTTTGGTTCGAATAATTTTTAAAAATCCCTATATCTATCCGACCAGCTGTATTTTGGGAACTCTCTCCTCTGCTGTTGACCAATACGTTGAGGTCCGCCCCTGATTCTAGAAGCAACTTGACGTTTAGGTTAATCGACTCCACTCCTTTCATTAAAGCCGTTGACCCGTCAATGTCCGCGTCGTCTGCATTGACACCTGGATGGTCCAGAAAGAATTTTTAATTTGTAGCGAGCGTCGACAAATATGGAAAGCTGTTTCTTTCCTGTTATTCTCTATATTTACTTTTTCTTGCTCTCTTCGTTTGGACCTTGAAAAATTTCGAAAACTCCTAGCTCGGCAGAAATCAGCAAAGGAGCACAGCGTTCCACATCTTAATAGTCCACATTCTCCCCCAGAATATTAGAAGAAACTGAGCTTAACTTTGAGGTCCAACTTTCCAAGCAAATGAAAGACAGCTGTCGAGGGCAAACCTAGAAAACTAACTGTCGTGGTGAACGTTCTTAATGAAATGTACAATTTGTTGAGAAGAACTTTGATATGGCTGCACAGCATCTCATCATTGATAAAAGCTTTTCAAGGACTTCTACCAGAGGAATCCATTGCAAAGTAAGCATTCCACTCACTGTGTGGCAGGGTCATCTGTGAATAAATGAATGAAAAGGATGGTGTTATTGTTTGGAAATCTCAATACTTTTTAAAGATTTGGCTCGTTAAATGAACAATATGGAACAAAGAATGGAATAACCAATATACAAATAAAAACGATACCAAATCTATTGATATTAACAATATTCAATTTCATTATATAGTATTTAATTTTTATAAAAATTCTAAATAAAATAATGTCTTTTTTAAATATATTAACTTTAAAAAAAAACACGTGAAAAAGTGCAATTCTAAAAATATACACTTATTAAATTGCACACGCAGACACACACAAAGGGAAAAAACTTTGAGGTTCCTCTATTACGTCTCGTTAATGTCGAGGAACATTAGAAAAAATCTCCCTCTGCCTAAGAATGTTGACGCTTTATTGAAAGGGAGAAAAGTTTAAACCCTCCAGACAAAAGAAATCCTAGAAATCGCATCACCTAATCGCTTTCTTTGGCACATATCGAATGCTAAGAACATTTCCCCAATCATGGAGGTGTGGGGTTGGTAAAACGCTACATATTTAATCGGTGACATCGATATCAAACATTTTTAGCAATCACCCCCCCCCCTTTTTTTTTCACTCTAAGGATAAAGGATTTCTTTTTTTTTTTTTTTTTTTCTTTTTTTTTTTTTTTATACTTTTTTTTATTAAATGTTTCCACTATAAAAATGCTGAATAAACTCCAAAAAACAAAAAAAAAAAAGCAAACTTCTGTTTTGATATCATTCATTTTTATCTTTCTCCCCCCCCCTTTTTTTTTTCACTCTAAGGATAAAGGATTTCTTTTTTTTTTTTTATGTAGCATTTTTATTTATCATATACTATTGTTAACTAAATGTTTCCACGATAAAAAGGCTGAATAAACTCCAAAAAACCAAGCAAAACAAGCAAACGCCAGAATTTTTTTTTTTTTTTTTGATTTAATTCTCTTACGGTTACAATTTATAATGAAGATACAAAGAACATTAACGGATTTTAAGAATCTCTTTTTCCATAATTGATTGAAATTAGTTGCTTAAATTACGGCCTCATTTCGACCGCTGTCCTGGCCATCGACTGATTGAGGTACCATTTGCTGTAGCCTAGAAGTTTTTTTTTAAAATTTTGCCGCGTCGCACCCCAATCTCGATTTCAAAACTTAAATACTGCTCCACGAAAACTTCGATTTTAAAACGTAAATATTTCTCCACGACAATCTCGATTTTAAAACTTAAATACTGCACCCCCACAATCTCGATTTTAAATCGTAAATACTGCACCCCCACAATCTCGATTTCTAAACGTAAATACTGCACCCCCACAATCTCGATTTCTAAACGTAAATACTGCACCCCCACAATCTTGATTTCAAAAATTAAATACTGCACCCCGACAAAAAAAAACAACAAAGCCGTTTTAAAGAAATTGAAATGAATCTGGATTTTCTCGGTCTTGCCGCACCCTCAAACACTGCCTCCGGCACCCCCAGAGGCTGCAGGCGCCCCTGGTTTGTAACCTTTTATTACATATGTTTAAGGTACCGGACTGTCTGTGTCGTTTACAGGCGACCGTTGTCGGATAGCCCCAACATAGTACGTAGAACTAGCTTTTACCCGAATCAAAGCTGCTATACTGAATTGTGCTACATGTATTATCCTTAGTGATGGACAGATGGAAATAATGGGAGGGGAATTGAGAATTCACATGGGAAAAGATAAAAATAGATCTGTGGAGTGACATGTTAAGAAGGAGCGAGAGGAGAATAAAAACGAATAGTGTTGAATAAGGGAAGCAACCTTCCTTTAATGACTTTTGCTTGATTTATTTCTGTTGGTTCCCTTTTGCAGATGTCTTTTTATTCCTACACATTCCAAGCTTCCCTTTTGCAGATGTCTCATAATCTCTAAAACACACATATCAAAAGTTTACCAACTCTCCGCACATATACGAACAGTTCATACAAATTTGACATTAAATAGATTGTCGGTAAAACTCTTTACTAGATTTATAAAGCGCCTTCAAAATGAGGCATTGGTAGTAATGCATTTGAAGTGCATGACAACTGAGATTCTCAGCAATTAATTATTCTTGGTTTCTTTCATGTTAGGAACAAAGGTAGGAAACTGTACAATGACTAAAGTGTAATTTTAACATTAAACAGCCCATAACAAAGCTTTTCGTATAACTCCTTTATAAAATTTAATATCGAGCAATGGATGGGGCTGAAAATTTGATAAAAAATGCATTCAAGTAACGCACTTTACAAGAATCACAATTATTGCCACCCCTCTTTCACCACCCCTTACCCCCACCCTCAAGGCTTGCTACCTCATTTTTTTTTTAAACGCTAAGAACTATATTAATATTCTAATGACCCACCCACTTTTATACGCCAAATTTATTTCACCAACAATTTTAGAAAAACTAAAAGAAAATATTACGCACCAAGCGCAATTTCATTCCTATCATGTGTGCTTTTACAGGGAAGTCGTCACGGGGAAATACAGGTGTGAGGCCTGCTGGATGCTCCCGTTGTGTATTGTTAGGGTGGTCTTGACACATTCAGTATCATAGACGTTCAAGATTTTCTCTGGCCAAGAAGCCAAAATGCCGACTGCTATAAGTTTGCAAGGAACAGTTTGTTTGACAGTCATTCTGACCAGGTGGACAAACCAATTGATTGGTTGCTAGACCACACACTCGGCTGCTGATCGGGAATGCGCCAATCATTTGTCATCTTTCTTAAACCGAATATGAATCCCTTATGATTTCACAAGCTGCCCTAAACATCTCGCGTGTCAGGTGAGTATTTATTTTATATAGAGCCTAAGTGGGACACTGAGTTGGAATAGAGTTAGTTACTTTTCATGATATAAATATGTCCTTGCAACTGTATCTTGCTATTGTTCAGACTGCATTGTTTATCTATAAATAGCGATTCGCCGGGTGTCTCTGGATTTAGATTGGCTTCCTTTATGGGTTTTTTCCCCATGTATATAATGAACAGCATCGAGGTATAGAGCACAGTTCTTTCTAACTCCATATTTTACTTCAAACCACTCACGAGTCCATTTGGACTACCCTGAAACCTCAGACCTCTTTACGTCCTTTTATTATATGAAAATATGCATGAAGTTAAAGTTGAGGATGATTGAAAGCAGCTGTTTCCCCCCTCCCCTCCCCCAGTTTAGACGCCTGAGGTGTCATACAATATAAATTCTATTGCGTGTCGTCAAAGGAATGACGGAAAGCAGCAATGAACGACGGTATGAATATTAGTACGACTCTTTAAAAGCCTCTGCATCGCGTGCGGTATAATGAAATTGTGCGATCATCGCTTTCAACGTTGTTGTTTTTTTAAAACTCGTTATTTAAAAACTTTGAATTTTTTTTCGTGATATAAATTTAAGAGCGTGTGACGTATAGGCTTAAAAAAGAGCGAGACTTTACATTTGCAAAATGAGGAAAATCATTGATCATATCATTTGGACACTTAAAAAGAGTTAAAAGAAATAAGCTTCATTTTTCATGAATGAAAAGAGATCATTTTTTAAAGAGTTTATTTAAACACGAAAAAAAAAAACACGATTCAATTTTCCAATTTTTTCGTTTATAAAAATTACATGCATTTCTCAGTGGAGTCAGCGGCTGAGACACTCCGCTGTGTCAGCGGCTGAGACACTCCGCGGAGTCAGCGGCTGAGACACTCCGCGGAGTCAGCAGCTGAGACACTCCGCGGAGTCAGGGGCTGAGACACTCCGCGGAGTCAGGGGCTGAGACACTCCGCGAAGTCAGCGGCCGAGGCACTCCGCCGAGTCACCGGCCGAGACACTCCGCCGAGTCACCGCCCGAGACACTCCGCCGAGTCACCGCCCGAGACACTCCGCCGAGTCACCGCCCGAGACACTCCGCCAAGTCACCGCCCGAGACACTCCGCCTAGTCACCGCCCGAGACACTCCGCCGAGTCACCGCCCGAGAGAGACACTCCGCTGAGTCACCGCCCGAGAGAGACACTCCGCCGAGTCACCGCCCGAGAGAGACACTCCTCTGTGTCACCGCCCGAGAGAGACACTCCTCCGTGTCACCGCCCGAGAGAGACACTCCTCCGTGTCGC